ACAAGATCTGACCGTGCACCCAGAGACTGGAGTTATAGAACACTCTTGAAAGAGGAGAACGAGGACTGTTCGGAAGAGCCTCCTTGAGGCCAGTCCTGCTTCCTAGAATTGAAGACTTTAGTGTGGTTTTTTTTTTTTTTTTCCCCTTAATGTTACAGTTTTCTGGGACGAGATGCTCATGTGTAAGCATGTGTGTGCATGTAGGGGCCATGTCCCTTTGTGTTTATTTAATTTCACTCTCTTTTGTGTTTGTCCCTAACTTGTTTTTGCTGTTGCTGTTTGTTTGTTTGTTGTTTTCCCACTCTAGGGGATCTGACTGTCTTTCAGTTGTGAGTAAATCAAAAGGAAGGCTGGGGTCTTAAAGGGAAGATCCTCACTGATACCTCACTGTGTGTTGGCCCTGCCCCCAGTGTGGAGTGCACAGGCCCGTATGTACCTGCACATACATGGTGGGATGGCAAGAGTAACTCTCCCTACCCTTCCCGCTTCATCGTGTCTGTCCTGTTCTTATTGGCTTACTCAAACATCTCTCAGAAGCTCCAAGGCGACAGAACAAAGTTTCTGACCTCCTTAATCCAGGGACAGGTATTAAGCCATGGTTCGATTTAGTTAAAATATTTGAATATATAAACTCTGGTTGCACGTCATGTTGTCTCAGCCCTAGGGCTGGAGACACACCCGCACACTTGTTCCTTCAGGATTTCGTGTCACGGAGTGCCACTGTCCCCCGGTTGTAGTATTTCCCAAACAATGTGAGAAACGAAAGGCGAAACTGCCTCCAGAAAGCCACCAAAGTCAGTCTCTCTAGGAGGAGGCTGTAGGCAAGAAGGTGCCGTATCAGTGTGGGCACACTGCTGTGGATGCCGGGAAGAGTTAGAACTCAAGACTCCTTTGGAAGATCTCTTGGATGGGGTGTTGGCCAAGGATGAGGGATTCCAAACCACAGCCAGGAGCTGGACCAATGCACTATAGTATTTTTCCCCCCCTAATAAGAGAAAGTAGGCTTTCATGGGAACATGTGGCTCCCACGGACATGTTCCCATGGGAGAAGGGGACACAGGTTCTCTCATTTGATCAACATGAGCATGCGTCCTTGAAATTCTGTGCGCTGCTCTCTGTCTTCGGAGTTTCCCTCCCCTCACTGCGAGTGAGCCCTTTGTCTTTTGTACTTATTCTTTTCATTTCACAGTCCATGGATATTTCCTGCCTTCCTCTGTCCAGGGGCAAATGCTGCTTCCAAACTAGCTCCCCGTCCCCTTGCCACACCCTTACACATACATATACATACATGCATGCAGGCTGGTATACAACACATAGCTGTGCAACCGTCCAGTCCTGCTATTCCGGGACTAGGTCCTATTTCCAGTCTAGGTCTTTAGTCCTACTGTGTGCTCCTCTAACACGCGAGTTTCTTCTATTAAGTCGTTTTCTCACATTGTATTGAAATTGCTTGGCCGCATCCCAGTTCCCCACGCTAAATGAACTTGCGCTCACTGGAGTAAACCCACACTCCAACACAGGGCCTGCTACACTCACAGTCCACATGTTAGACAAATATTTATTAAATGTACGTTCGGGGGTCCTAAAGACTTCCAGACTCCGTATTATCTCTGGAAGCTCCAGATCAAAGACTGACTGTAAAGATCAAAGAGACTGACAGAGACTCCAGATGCTGAGGCAAAAATCAAAACTTAGCAAAATATTTGGGTCTTTACACCCTACACCTCCCTCATAATTTAATCTCTCTTCCTCTTACCTTTATTTGGGAAAGAGATGGGAGAGAGGAGGGAGAGACAGAGAGAGAGAGAGAGAGAGAGAGAGAGAGGGAGAGACTCCACAGTACTTGGCAACATACCATCTTCAGGCTATTTGTGCACGTGCGTATTTGTGTTGGGTGCATGGGGGTGGTGCAACCCTCTGGAGGCCAGAAGTCTGTGTTGGGTGCCTTCCTCAATCATTCCCCATCTCAGTTTCTCAGACATAATTTCTCGCTGAACATAAAGCTGATTCTGTTTGGCCATCTGGTGAGCAAGCCCCAAGATGGAGCTCCTCCTGTCTTTTCCCTCCAAAGCCTGGATTGAAGGTGTGTGCCATGGTGCCTGGGTTTGTCTTTTGTTTTTTTCACATCGGTGTCGGGGCTAGAACTCAGGTCTTCTCACCCGCTCACAAGACAGTTTGTCAACTGAGCTATGGCTCCAGCCCTCGTTTGGTTGGTTTTAAATGTCACTCATCAACTGCAGATCTGTGGTTCTGTCCATTATGGGCCTCGTGATCGTTGAGAAGATGTATGGAAGCTTTGGTCTCTCATTTTAAAGGATTCTTTAAAACCTTGAAAGCAGGTTCTTTGGCACTGCTTCCACCCAAAGGTGGGACCAACGTTCCTCCTCTTCCCACTGTGGGTGGGTGAGTTCTGTGTGCTGGCCCATCGGCACATAACAGAGCAATGCTTTGCCAGATTCCACACAAGCTTTAAGAGAGTGGGCTCTATTTGCTGTCTTAAGAGAGTTCACTTGGGGGAGGTCATTGTGTTATGAGAAGGCCTGAGCCTCGCCCAGCTCTTCCCGCCCTCCTAGCTGAAATGCAGATGTGTGGTGAATGCAGAAGCCATCCTGGATGTCCTGCCAGAAGCCAGAACAACCCCCACATGATATCTGACGCGATTGTCATCTTACTGTGTCACCATGAGAGACTACAGGAAGGACCTGTGCAGTTGTGTCTGGATAAGGACTGTGAGCTGGTTTGAGGTGGTTTATGGAGCAGCAGTGGGTATGGCTCCTGGAAGGAATGACAGCATCTGCCTCCTAGTAATACCATAGGATCCTCCTCCTTCAGGCTTTGGAGTGAAGGAATTACAGGTATGGCCTCTTCCTTGCTACAATTAGATGTAAAAAGTGAAATTTCTTTCCTATAGTCTGGAATAAAATAGATAATGTGTCCTGCCCTGTCCCTCCTTTTTTTTTTTTTTTTTTCCCTACTAATTTGGATTTCTAAAAAGTAGTAACTAATCTAAGGTTAACCAGAGGCAGGTGGGGGACTACTGGGTAAATGCTTTTTAACTAACATGCCTTTCTTTCCTTCATTTCCCTCATCTTTCTTTTCTGTGTGTGTGTGTTTAAAGTACAGCCAGTTCATTTTGACTTAAAGTAAGAATACTAAATTCAGCCTTCATGATGCAGACAGAAAAATCACAGGTTTGCTTAGTCTCGTGGTGATGGAAATGAAACAACAGAAGCTAAAATGATTCAAGGCAAAATTCCCTTTGAGAACTTTAATCATGTCTGTGGCGGGGCCAAAAGCAGCCGAACAAATACTGTAGACTGCATAATTATTTCCCATGTAAACACTATAGAATTGCAGGCTAGGAGGCTGGGGGCTGAGAGGTGCTTGCTACCTGTAATTATAGCTTTGCTAAGTTTGATTTTATAGACTGGCAAAACTCAAGTTTGATTTAAACCACACAGAAAGACATGATGCAAATTGGACAATCTTCTCCCCCCCCCCTCCCGCCCCACCCCGCCCCCGCTCAGACGGCTAATCTTACTTCATTCCAGTGTTCTCTTTAGAAGGCAGCCTTTTCTTGCTCTTATTGTTCAGCTGCGTACCCCAGGGAGTGTGTTGTTCTTCCTAGAAGACTTAATGAGGCAATTCGACTTTATCTTTCTATTTCCTTTCCAATTCATTCCCTCTTCAAACTGTCAATAGACACAGAGTTCATCACAGTCTGACCAGAGTAGGATGGTAAATTCTACTCAAACACCTGGTAAACGAACTCCAGAATGGAAGGTGATTAAACGAGAATCAAGCTTTTACATTTCTACCTTTAATAATGAGTGTACAAAAAGGTCACAGGCTTAAATGCCTTTGCCACCAAGATAGTTGTAGTTGTAGTGGGGCGGCAGAGGCGATAAGGCAGAAGGGTTGATGAAGTTTGGATTTGGCCAACAGTTGACTATGGTTTGTTTGTTTGTTTGTTTCTCTGATGAGAACACTGGAGGGGGGTGGGTTGGGGCTAGGCATTTTATGAGTGCTGGGCCCCTTGTCTTCCTTGGGGTCAAGCCACTTTTAACCCTTGCCTTATGGCCAGACTATACGGGGGCCCTTCTGCTCCCAGTGAGTCCATATCCAGAGCTGTGGTGCTTTCTTACTGTTTCGCAGCTCTGGGAGGAGGCATGACTGGGCAAGAGAGACGCAAGCTTGTTTTAGTGGCTTTTGGCCTGGTTTTGCCTCTAGGCGCGCAGTACTTGCTTTCCACAGTGTGCAGGTTCTCGTGAGCTTGCCCTGTCGAGGAGAGCAGAATAGATGTTTTGCCCCAAAGACAAGCCACACTTTAGGGCAGGTAGGGATGTCTTTGTTTTCGAATACAATGATGGGGAAGACGTTATCCAGGATAACACTTTGGATGTAGCCAAGTCGTGCAGCATGTCTCCAGCGCATGAGCAGAGTCCAGAACCGGGCCTGTGGGGTTCCTCACCGAGTTCCTCAGGGTCAGAGGTGGAGAAGCGGGTTGTATGTAGGCAACGGTCAGCAAGGCTAGGGGACCAGGGACCGGCGCAGACAATGCCTAGGGACTGCCCTGTGGAGGCCCAGCGGAGAGGTGAGCCGACAAGGATGGGTGCCCCTAAGCCCACTGCGGTTCTGAGACCCCTAGACACGGCAGGTCTCCCACGAGGATCTGAGATCCAGCAGACGCGGACCGATCCCCCCACGCGGATCGAGGCCCCGCAGCCACCGCTGCGGCCGCGTGCTAGCGCAGCGGGAGCCGGCTGGGTCCCGCACTCACTCACGTTGCCGCCCTCGCGCGGGCCGCCCTCTTTCCTCCGGCTCTCACGGGGCCCCGCACTCGCTCGCTCCCTCCCACGGGGGCGCAGCTTCGCTCCGCAGGCCGGGGGCGGGGCCCCGAGCAGGGAGCTCGGGGATTGGCCGCTGGGGGAGCGGAGGCGGGGCCCGAGACAGAGAAAACCCGCGCCGGCGCGGCAGCGCCTCCAGCCGCCAGCCGGTACCGCAGAGCCACCAGCCCCGTCCCGCCGCTCTCCGGGCGCTCTCCAGCCTCCGCGGCCGCCCGGCGCCGGCCCCGGCCCGCCCTCTCCGGGCAGCGCGAGCCGCCTCCCGTCCTCACCTCCCTCCCCGCGCGGTGCAGCCCGGCCGCAGCGGCGATGCGCCTCATCCAGAACATGTGCACCATCGCCGAGTACCCGGCCCCGGGCAGCACCGCCGCCGACTGTTGCCTGGGGGCCGCCGGCCGTCGGCTCGTCAAGATCGCCGTGGTGGGGGCCAGCGGCGTGGGCAAGACCGGTGAGTCCCAGCTCGGGACCCGCTTCGTGGAGGGGCGGGACGTGGGAGACCCCCCCCCCCCCCCCGCATCCTCCGGCCCGGACCGGAGCGGGGAGAGGTGGGCGTTGCGGCGGGATCCTCCGCCCCTTCTTGTCCCGGCTTCTGGGCAGGAGGACCACCGCGGCCCAGACGGGCCACCGACCTCCGGGCCAGAGTAGAACTTTGGGGCTTTGACCCTCTGGCAGCGCTGGGGCAGATCGGGGAGTTAGTGACCGGAACCGGTCCTGGGGTTCTGTGGGGTGAGGAAGACACTCTCCTGCTGGAAGGTTTAGGTGTGCGGGGAGGGAACGCACAAGATCCTCCCCGCTGCTGGAGCCGTAATTCACCGGGCTTCAACTTCCTCGAGTCTGGCCGAGGGGTCGGGGAGCTGCAGGATAGGAATTTCCCTCAGAGGCGGGCTGCGACTTTCTTGGGAAGTTGTTTTCCTGGTGGGGGTGGGGCGGAGAGCCGTCTGACTCGGTGGGTTGACTCGGTCTGTTCCCTTTGGTGAATTGCAGCTTTGGTGGTCCGCTTCCTCACCAAACGATTCATCGGAGACTACGAACGAAATGCAGGTGAGGAAATGCGTTGAGGAACACCCTTGTTGGGGTTGCTGTCCTCGTTCCCCAGTGCCTTCAAAGGACCACCTCCTTCAGAGTGACAGACAGTGTGAGCGGCAGGCTTCGGCCACTTCCAGTTCTGCGAGGGCCCCCTCCCCTCCAGCTGCCATCTGGCCTCATTCCATTCCAGGCCCATTCATCATTTTATCAAGTGCCCGAAAGTATTCCCTGTGGTATGTTTTAGCTATGGGACCCCAGTTGGAAGCGTCCTTTGTACTCCAGGGACTTTGCCTTTAAAACATGCCTGCAAAAGTCATAAAAAGGAAAAGAAAGGAAAGAAAAAGGAAAAAAAAAAAAAAAAAAACCCACGCTGGCCATCTCCTCCCCCACCCTCTCCCTCTGCTGGCTGCCTTTCAGGGGTGACCTTTCAAAGCAAAGGCCAAAGGAGAGCAGTTATAAACCTAAAGTTCTTTCCTTAACAAAGAAAAATAACCAGCCGATATGATTCTGGCCAGCAGAGCTCCTGAATAATGAGAAGACAAATATTTCATTCCCAACGACTGAAAATAGCCACAGTCCCAGGAGACTTCAGTACTTTCTGTTAGCAAATTGCTTGACTAAGTAGACTGCCTGAAGTACCTGCTGGGGATTAATTGAAATGAGCCACATTAGCTGACCCGAGATAAGACATGGTAGCCTTCTGCCCTGATGTAGAGTTGCTCCTCACCATGGCACCGTTTCATGCCAGGGAGCTTTTAACCGTGCATTTACTAACCACATTTGTCTCTGAAGCTCTTGCAGCCATTGGGCAAACTGTAACCGTTCAGAGAACGATAATATACTAAAATGAAAACAAAACCCTGTGCATTCTGAGCCAGGAAATCTACTCCAAGGGAATAGTCTAAGTATGGAAACTTGGTTTAAAATTAGACCAGGAAGTTTCTAAAAACCACAAACTTTGACCTACTTTTGATAAATCTACTAGCGGGGGCTTAACATTGCATTTGGCCTTTAAGCCAAATGTGAAGTAAGCCTGTTAGTTAGAAATGAGTGCATCCTCCCCCCCACCCCAGTGTCTATTAGTACAGTCTATTATTACATTAAAAACAAACAAGAAATCAAACCACAGTGTTTCATCAGGCTAAACACAATCTCTTTTCTTTGCCTTCCTAGGTAATCTCTATACAAGACAAGTCCAGATAGAAGGAGAAACCCTGGCCATTCAAGTTCAGGACACGCCAGGCATTCAGGTGAGAAACTGGGAGGCTGCCTGGGTCAAAGGGGAGACATGTGGCTGTGGAATTGTTCACTTGTTCTTAAACTAAAGGGAGGCAAGATTCGGGGAGTGAGGTCTAGACTTTTTACGTGTTGTTTGACAGTTTAATTGTATCTGGCTGCTGGTCAGCCTTGGCCTGGCTTAGTCTGGGAGATTGGGGGAAGGGGCAGAGCTCCTCCTGTAGGAGGGGTCACCAGAGCAGGGGGGAACCAAACCAACACTTGGGATTGGCAGTGTTTCCTTCCTTTGGCTCTTATGTATGTGCCTTCAACATTAAAAATCAAATATGCAAGTCCAGCCTCCGACACCCGGAATCACTTTTATGTTGTGGAAAGTTTCTCTGTAGACAAAAGACCTCTGCTAGTATTTTTTTTTTCCTTCCCCATCGTGAGCTGGGCAGCTCTCCAGGTTTAAATCCTTCCCGCTCCTATCTTTGCTTCTCCAGACTTACTGTCTAGCCAGTTAATTTCCCATTTTGTGAACTACAAAGTGTCTCCGCGTGGAGTTCTCTGTAGGTCCATTTTCCACTTGAGTGTGGTGAGCTGCCCTGTTATTTGTTCCTTCCGAGCAGCTGGATCGACATAGTGTTAAGAAAGCTGCCATGTGTGGGGAGAGAACTTGTTTCTGACCCGCAACCCCGCCATCACTGTAAAGGGTTCTCTTGAACCCCGGATCTGCCGGAGCCGGAGCTCTGTGCTGTGCAGCATGCACTGCTCACCTCGCTCTCACCCTTCTCTTCAGGTCCACGAGAACGGCCTGAGCTGCAACGAGCAGCTGAACCGCTGCCTTCGCTGGGCAGACGCCGCGGTCCTCGTTTTCTCCATCACCGACCACAAGAGCTATGAACTCATTGGCCAGCTCCACCAGCACGTGCAGCAGCTTCACCCGGGCACGCGGCTGCCCGTGGTAGTGGTGGCCAACAAAGCTGACCTCTTGCACATCAAGCAGGTCGATCCTCAGCTTGGACTGCAGCTGGCCGGCATGCTCGGGTGCTCCTTCTACGAGGTGTCCGTCAGTGAAAACTACAACGACGTCTACAATGCTTTCCATGCCCTGTGCAAAGAAGTGAGCCATAAACAGCAGCCCAGCAGCACCCCCGAGAAGCGCAGAACCTCCCTCATTCCCAGGCCCAAGTCACCCAACATGCAGGACCTGAAGAGGAGGTTTAAGCAAGCTCTGTCTGCCAAAGTGAGGACTGTCACCTCCGTCTGAAGGGTGACTCCTGCAGGGGGGTTGGTCTTCGGGGCAGAGGGCCTGAAGTTCTTCTTGGGCGAGACCATTGCAGGTTGATGGTGGCTCACGGTTCCAGGAAGGGTTGCGGCACAGGGGCCTACGGGGCCTGCGGAATTCTGCAAGAGAAAGGAAGCGTGTGGAGCCTGAGGACAGACGGATGGATACGTGACTTCTCTGCCCAGTCCTTCAAGTGGAGATGGGGCATGTTTTTGTTTCTCACTGCCTTAGAAATGATGGTCAGTTTCACCAGATACATTGATGTGAGTTAGGGTGGGGATGAAAGCACAGGGTAAGCGATTCACAGGCTTTCTCTTCCTCCTCCATTTTTGTTTTTCTCCCAAGAGGAAGGTTTGCTTTCCTCAGTGTCTCCAACATGCTATCTTTACAGGATGCCTTCCTAACTTGAAGGTCACCCAGGTTTGAGAACAAGGAGGGACCCTCCCTACCCCACAAAGGTCCAATTTTAGACCAAAATATCCTGTGTCTAGACACCTATGATCTGTTGGAAGGTGCTGGCTGTCCTGACACAGGATGGATAATGTGTGTTGAGTAGCTGGGAGAGACTTAACCCTGGACTGCCTGGACTGTACAGTCATTTGTTTTTTCTTTGAACTGTGGCATCAGGTACAGAAAAAAAAAAAAGTATTAATTGACAGTGGTGTGGTTTGTGTAAATGACTCATGGCAATGATGTTGGGTTGCTTCCTGGGCCTGGCTGAGTTGTGGCAATGGGTGGCTGCGATACTGAAATGCTGTCTTCTAGCGTGACCAGATGCAGGGCTACCTGCCAAATCCCCTACACAGATGCACTTTAAGAAGCCATTTATGCTTTGGCTCAAACTGTAATTAATTTATTTTATGTACAATAAATCTCTCATTTGATAAGAGCAGACATCTGACTGGGTCTTTATTGAAATGTTTATCTTCTGTTGTGCAGAAAGTGTTGTTTAGAATCGTGTTTATTGAGCAAGTTGGGTCAGGGAATGTCTCTTCCAGGAGTGACCCCTTAGGTCTCAGCACTTGTGGTCACTGTGCTATCCGCGTTTTACGCAGCACAAAACATCCTTGCAGAGCATTGTCGCTTGTAATCTGGCCTTTCTATTCTAGAGTGGCAAGTCTCCTACTCATGTTCTTCATGGTCCTCTGGGTAGACGTAAGACAGCTGTCTGCACACCTCAGCAGAGCCACAGAGGGCGTACATGTCTCTCCACAAAATCAGTGCTGTGTCATCCGTGATGTACTTAGTGAAACTTTGGGGGGGCATGCTTTGTCCTCAAACTACACTTCATTCTCACGGTAAGCGCTTATGCCACTGACTGGAGCTATTCAGGAATTGCTCCCCTGGCGCTATTGTCACACGCATGTGCCACAGCTGCCAGGCCTCTCTTCTGCTGCCCTGAGAGCCTGGACCACCTTCCACTCCAGCTCAACGGGTCTCCATCTCTGTGGGCAGGGCATCGTCCTTCCGTTTGGGCAGCACGTTCCGTGCTATTCTTGGCGGATCCTCTAGTTAACCCTGTGAGGGAAGGGAAGAGGGTAGGGCTAACATGATTTCACAGATAAGAAAGGCAGGGTTTAGGTTTTGAGTGATGGCCCCAAGCTCACAGAAAGGAGCTCAATTAGTGTCTTGACTACTCATTGTTACCTCTTCGTCATGCTTCATATGTAAGATGCAGCGCTGGAGCCTGCATGAAGCAGTGGGATGTACAGGGAGTCTGCCATGAAACCGGGCTGGGCTCTTAGAGCTCATTTTCCCAGGCGAACATCTGACTGTTCTTGACGGTGACATTCTGACATTTATGCTGTGTTATACATAGAACATGTTATTTAAAAACAAAACAAACAAAACCTCTTCAAACCTAACCGAACCTCACCCCTGAGAAGGGTGTGTGTTGGCAGCAGGGTAGGAAAATGGTACCCACAGAAGATGGAGACAGTTCAAGGGCAGAGACAGGTGTCTCTATTCTATCCACTCTTGTCTTCTCCTGTGTAGTTGTTAGCAGTGCACAAGGAGCGAGCAGTTCGTCTTTGCCCACTGACCCTGGGCTCACCGTGTTCTGAAACCAGAGACAAGAAGCTCTGCAGAGGGTAGGTTTTTGCAGCACAAGTGCCCAGTGGAGCCAGACTTTCATCTCTACTGCCACCTGTCTCCTCTTTCCTACTGTTCATTCACACACATCTCTACAGGGCTCTGGTCAGTCCCCTGGCAGTCTGGTGAGTGTGCCTGGCACCTTCTCATCTCCCGCCTTTGCCACTCTGACTGCCCCTCACCTCCTTACCCCTGTGCAGACTCAGCCTCCTGCCTGGCCTTGGTCTTTCAGCTATGAGGGGTTCTGGCTACAGAAGGATGAAGGGGGGAGAGGGCAGAGGGAGAAAAATCTCTTGGGAATCTCAGGTGGGAACCACCGAAGATCTAATCCAGGCCACTGTCTCAGGTGGAACTGACCGCTCAGTTCTAGAACAACTGTGTTCCCAGCATAAATCTGCCACAATGTTTCATTGATCTCACCTGTCTCAATACTAGTATCTCTCCATTTGATGGCCCTCCTCACTTGAGGTCTACAAACTTGGGCCTGAGAAACAGTCTCCTCTCCCCCTAGGCAGGGATGTGCATGAGCCTGGTGCAGAGGAGGAGACAAATGAGGGTTTATTGTGTATTGACAACATACCAGATTGCGCATGCTCTCCTTTAATCTTTGGGAGACTCCTGAGGGGGCTCTATCACTCCTATTTTAAGACAAGGAAACCAAGGCCTAGAGATTATGTTAGCTTAGGGCCAGACGTAACAGCACTCTGCTTCATTTACTGACTGTCTGGGCACCAGCAAGAGATGTCTGAAACAAAGACATTCTGATGCTAATTCCACCATCTCTCTTTAGTATCCTATACAGGGAAGGAAACAGCTGGCTTGACTCTTAAGAAGCCAACGCAAGACCCTACCGATGCCAGGTTTGTGCTCCCGCCCCCATCCCAGACCCAGCTGCAGCTCTGGGCCTACCTCCCCGGCCCCACAAAGCCAGCTTCCTCCACCTCCCTTCTGCTACCGGCCACGGCTGCCTTACTGCCTGGCCCCAGGGCTCCTGGCAACTGGACCACATCTGCTGTTGCCATTAGCCAGAGGCTGCTGGCTGCCTTGGCTTCCAGCCCCCCCCTCGGTAATAAAGACATCCAGGTTGGAGGGGCTGCCTCCCAGCCAGCCTGTCTCAGAGCCCAACCCACGTCTGTCTTGATGTCTGGCTTTCTAGTTTCCTCCCAGCCCCAAATCAAAACCATTTGCAGCCCCAGGCTGGGCCTGGCCCTCCTGTGCAGTGGCAGGCGAGGCTGGGAGGCTATAAAACTGCCTTCCCTCCTCATCCAGCTCCAGAAGGTTCACCTGTCCAGCAGTTCAGAACCCCAAGCTTTAAGGGTTATGGCCATGTTTACAGAGAGCCCCTTATTTATGGGGGAAAAAATAGGATTTCAGCACTGATCTTTTACCCCAAGAGGGGAAAAAAAAGATCTGGGCAAGGGAACAAGTTGTGAGCAGATCCCCATAATGAAGAAGTTGGCACACTACCGTCTTGCTTAGCAGAGTGGAGCTGGCAAACACCCAGCTGTGGAGAACTCCCAGAACCTCTGGGTAACAGCCTAGCAGGGAGGCACTTGCCTGCTTACAGTAGAGAACCCAGAAAGCTGTCTGGGTACTCTTCTAGTTCCAGCAAGTTCTTGAACTGGACAGGAGAATGGGGTTAGGGTTATCAGCGAGGGTGGCAAGCTCCAGCCACTCCCCTGCTCTCTCTGCCATGGCCGGCAACTCCCCACCATCTGGTTTTTGGACATTCTTTTCAAAGCAGAGATGGAACTTTTTGATGTTTCTTGGGCAAGGCAACAGACAACATTTGTAATACTGGATTATTTGATGTTGAGATTCCATTTCTGGTAACCAGGGTAAAGAGAAACAATGGTGGTCTTGGTGGTGGTGTTGAGGGCTAGGGGACTATGGGATTCTTTGTTATGGAAATACCACTGTAGCTGTCTGGACCCCAGGCCTGAGCCTCTGCTTGGAGTACTTCCCAACACTTTGATTGTGCCTTATGTTTGTAGGGACAGGGCTTCAAAAGGAACAGACCTCACTAGCCACAAAGCATTTGCCCAGCTCTCAACTGTGTATACAAAAAGTGGTTGCGAAGCCCTTGGCAGGAAACTGGCCTGCGCATGCTGGGGTTGGCTTTGGCCATCATGGTTAAGGTGGTAAATATACCTCTCGGGCACTACTGCTCAGCTCCTCAGCTGGGTCTTTCATGTCTCCTTCAGCTGGCAACCATCAAGGGTAAGGGCGAGGTCCCTTGAAAACGAATACTTCTGGATAATGTGGAAATGGTAAATGAGGATGTCAACTCTAGACTACACATTACTGTTTTCTGGCTTACATTAGTGGTGGAAAAGTTCCTGTTGGGGACATGGATCTGCCAAAGGCAAGCCTCTGACTTTCATCCCTAGCTGTAGTGATTCTTAGGTATTGTTATGCTTACATATAAAACATCTTCCAAAGGCTCATGGGTAGAGAACTTGGGCCCCAGAGGAGCACACAGAAGAGGGGCACCGGGGAGGGGGTAACTGGATCCTGAGCAGTTTCAGTTCATCAGTGGATTAGTCTATGGAGAAACTCACTCCTTACTGCAACACCGGGAGGAAGGGAGGCCTTTAGAAGATTGGACGTTTCAGAGGAAGCAAGCTGTGTCCTGAGAGTATCCATTTTGTCCTTGCCTCTAGCCCCTCCACGATTTCCTGGCTGTCATGAATCAAAAAGGTCTTCACTTGCACATATTCTTTATCATGTCTCATGGGCAGAGAAACATCAGAGCCAAGTGACTGTGGACTGACACCTTTGAGACTGTGAGCTAAAAATACAGTTTCCTCCTCCAAGTTGATTTTGTCAGAGAGTTTGTCACAGTGACAGAAGGCTGGCGAATACGGGGGCATTGAACACTTACCCTGAGCCATGTTCTAAGTACTAGGTGTGCACCGACTCTTTCAATTCGCTCTAAAACCCAGTGCAGTATGGCCTACTGGCATCTAATTTCATGTTCAACCACGACCTGGAGAAATAAGCTACCACATGTGGGAAATGGGCTTCTGACTGACCTTTTGGTTAGATGGCCTTGGCTGGACCAAGACTTTATTTCTCCTTCACTTTTCCTCTTCCCAGAAATGCCTCCAAACTCACTCTTCACTTACTACCATTCTCCTGTTGATGTTTTGCCCTTTTGTGGAACAACTCACTGGTGCCCTTGGCAGTAACACCCAGACCCCCTAGCAGCGCTTTGGGAAGGAGGCTCCATTATCTATTTCATGAATGTTGGTGCATGCTTGGATAACCACGGTGCTCTGAGAGGTATAACATGGACACAGACCCAGAGAGGAGTCCAGAGCCCTGACCCATCGGCTCTTTCACATGGGTGGGGGTATTCTTAGGAAGCTCCTTAATCCCTCCCTCAAAGGAAATGGGCACAAACCTGCACAGTGCCCAAGACTGCTTTCATTACCCGAGTCATCTTGTTCCCTGATTTGTTAAGGACCATTTGCAGGACCCAAACCAAGTTTGCGTTATGACCCTGCTGTTTCATATCGAGGCTTTGGACTCTCTCCTGTCCCTTGGGCCCTATTCAAACAAGACTCTTGCTATCACCAACTTCTTCCAGCCCACCTATCTCCAAAGCTTTCCATCATGTGACTGTCCAGCTGGCCCAGTTCTTCCAACCAGTGGCCATAGATATGGAAAAGGGTAATTATAAATTAAACTTTTCATACTTCTCCCAACCACTCAGACACTAGCTATGGTCATACTTACTTCAGGGTTAGAGCAGTGTAGAATGCTAACACAACTGGTAGCTTTATCCTATTGTCATAAGAGTAGGGCTGGAGAGATGGCTCAGCCATTAAAGGCAGACACTTCTGAATATTTTCTTATTAGGTAAGAAACAATTTGCCAAGATAAACCATTAAACTCACAAAAGCAATACATATTTGGTGTAAAAAAAATTGAAACAGTACAGAAATAATAGGGGTGTGAGGCCCCTAGCCTAGCATGCCAGTTGCTGTATCTTCCAGAGGCAACCACTGGTTAGTAGTTTGGTGTTCTGTTTTCAGATTCCCTTTGCACGTAGACATATGGTGTACAACTTTAACCTTGAGAAGAGACCCACAGGGAATCCAGGCATAAGGCAAAGCCTGGGCTGCTCATCCTGGGAATGCCACGGAGCCAGGGTGGTGTCTGGCTTGTGGTAAGGTTGGCTTAGAACTTCTCAGAGTGTCTGGAATGTTCTCCATGGATTCCCATTAAATATTTGAGAATGGATGGATAAATGAATACAGTGTTGAATCACATGGCAGGTTATTTTAAATTTCTTTATTTTAGAAAGTACTTATTTCTGCTTATATATAATTTCTTTGTTGCTAATGCCATTTTTTTCCTCGTTCAAATGTAAGGCTTTTAGATTAGTGCAGTTTAAAAAAAGAGCTTCTTTATAGTTCAGCACCATCAAAGAACTGGTGAAGGCAGAGAGCACATGTGAGCAGGAAAACGAGCATCTAGTTTTATACAAATCAGCTTTGTTCATCTGAAAATGATTCTAAGTTCACAGTTCTTTCTTCTTCTTCTTCTTCTTCTTCCCTAAAATGACACCATTTAATAGAAAAGTAAAAGGTACAGCTATGTCTTGGTTTACATTTTATTTTGTCTTCCTGCTTAATCCACAGTAGAAACTGTTTCAGACATCTGTTGCTCATGCCAGGAACTCCCCATTGGCCATGCACCTATAACTGTGTCTGGGTTCTAAGCAGTCCTCCCTTCCTTCCTTCCTTCCTTCTTTCTTTCCTTCCTTCCTTCCTTCCTTCCTTCCTTCCTTCCTTCCTTCCTTCCTTCCTTCCTTCCTTCCTTCCTACCTTTCTTTTTTTTTCCCCTAGAGTTTTCATATAATCTCACTAGATACATCTGGGTATTCCTGCTATGACCAGAAAGAAATTATAAACTCCCAGAAGAAAGCTTCCTATTTCAGCAGGAATTTGAAATGGCAAAGGCTGTCTAGGGGTTGTGGTTACAACCTGGACTCCCTGAGTGGAGCTCTCTTCCACATGGGGCCTTCCCCCTGACAGGATGAAGCCATTTGTAACCAGGACAGCCCTTCAGTCCCCCTCCCTCACTTTTTTTTTTTTTTGTCCTTCCCACTGCTGTTCCAAGTAGCAGGACTGCCCTGGTCCTTGAACCAGCTGGAACAAAGCAGCTCTTTGTCACTTGCGGGTGATTTAGCTCTCATGGAGGCCACCCCCTTCCTTGTCTTTCAGAAATGTTTTCCAGTCAGAGAGAAACAAAGTCTCAGGCTGTGTCTGTGACATCCCTTCCTCACTCACATAGCCACAAGGTAGCTTTCCTCAGGCTGGGGATTCTAAATACACCAACTTCACACCATAGAGCTCATTTCTGCCACCACTTGCCAGCAGGCTTTTACCCAGAGCTAGTGAACTTGCAGGTAGCTTCAGGAAGATTACACAGGGGGGAAGGATAAATTAGAGTGACTGCTGGTGAAGTCAGCTAAAGACGGCTTGACACCTTTAGAAGAAGAACGAAAATGCAAGTCTTTATTTTGCTTTTGAAGAACCCAAGCAAACTGCCTTCTGCACGGTTATGAACTAAGTCATACCTATAATTAGAAATGGGGACACTGGCTTTGGAGGCATATCTGGAATGGTGACAGATGGGTATTGGTATTTCCAGCTCAAACAGGTCTTCTCTTCGATGTCAGAAGCCAAGGTCCGGGTGTAGCCGGTCAGTTGCAAAGAGCAGTTCAGGAATGTGAAGTGGTTTCAGGAGTCTTGTGGACAGCACCATCACCTGTGACAGGAGGGGGCACGGTTAGGGACATCGGTTATCAGGGGCTAAGAATGATCTCAGAGGGAGGCATGGGGTGAGCAGCATGGAGAAAGCAGACACGGCAGAGGCCCCTCAGCTATAACCTGGATGCTAAGAGTGGCTCATGCTTTGCTCACCTAGGCTGTGTGGACCTTTCAGCCCATCTGTCTGATTCTGAGCGACTCTTCCCTCAGCCTGGACTTCAGTGTGAGGCTGATCTCTCTCTAGAACACCAAGAGAGCCTGTTCCAGGACTTGGCTGGGTGCATGCTATGCTTTGTAAGGGCCAGGTGAGAACTGCCGGAGCCAGCAGTAGGCACCTCTTCCTATCTAACTGCCTGTGGGAAATCAGGGAGGTGATCCAGGGAGGACTTCCACAGAGTGCGGCATGACTGGGCTTCACCAGGCCGTGCTATGCTGGACAGGTGCAGGGAGGACGCCTCCCTGTCCCCTTGCCTGCCCCCAAAGTTATCCCAGGTGTAATGAAATCACTGAAGTAATCAACTCTGAATTCAACTAGCTCATTGGTGCAAAACCAAGGCCACATTCCAACTCAAGGCTGTACAGGGCAGGGTCATGGTCAGGGGAGGGAGTAGAAAAGAAACATTTTAGAATTTTGATTTTGTTTTTGAAAATAACTTAACGGCCTCACTGAAGAGTTCCCCCTCTTTTTCAAGAGCACTGCTTTTGAAGCACTTGTTCTTAGAAAAAAGCTATCTTGAGAAACACATAGCTAATGCCAACGAAGCTGTATTTTTGGCAGGAAAAAAAAACCAAAAACCCTGTGTACTGAAGTCTCTGTTTCTCATTCCCCTTGAAATCTATGCAAAGAGAGTTTGAGGACAGTGCCGAATATAACCACGCCCTCGCCACCCCAGCTGAGTGAGGCACCAAACCAAGCAGGCGTGTGGCAATAGTGCCTGCCAGGCCAGAGCTGCCAGCAGAGGCTGGGGTGGGGTGGGGTCCAGCGGCACTGCTGGTTGGCTGGAGCCCCCTGGAAAGTCACTTTACTTGGAGCCTCACTCTCCCACCTCATTTGTCCCAGAGAGAAAAGAACACCCGAGCTTGCAGCACTGCCACAGTGGTTACGTAAGTTCCTCTACCGAGAGCCCAGGGCATGCTCAGCTACTGTCAGCTGCTGCTTCACTGTGATTTGCTGACAGGTTTTCGGACCTCCTTTTGATTCATTTGAAAGCTCACAATTTTCTAAAGAAAATTTCTAAAGAAATTTTTTCTCATAGTTTTAGGACAGGCTTACAGACTTCTAGGACTTGCAAACCACCATTAGGATGCCTACTTAAGGATGCATACACAGGACCTAGGAGATGGCTCAGTGGGCAGAGACCCTGCTGTGCAAGCATGAGGCCCTGTGTGTACCCACAGAATCGGCAAGAAAGCCAGGCGTGGCGGTATGCTTCTGTAAGCCTGGGACTGGGAAAGCAGCGGCAGACAGGTTCCAGGGCCTCAGTGGCCAGCGGGCCTAGCCTACTTGGTGAGCTCTAGTCGAGAGAACCTGTTTCAAGAAACGAGGTAGACAGCTCCCGAGTAATGACAGCTGGGTTTGTGCCTTAGCCTTTCCACATGCCTGCAAGATGTGTGTGCACATGCATGTGTGTGTGCGCGCGCACACAAACACACACGCACACACAGCTTTGTCCAGCCTCTGGATACAGACCACCATGAGTCAGAAGAGAGCAGTGAGGGTTAATATACTGAAGACTCTCCTCCATCCCATGACTGGCCAGTCCTGCTATATTGCCAGATGGCAGGCCTCAGGCCCAGTGCAAAGCTATGGGCTGCCTCTCCAGCTGAGGTTAAGGGCAGGAGTGAGCATGGAATGTGTCTCCAAAGGAGCTTAAATCTTGGTGTCGGGTTTGAAGGACTTGGGGAGTGGGGTGGGGATGCTGGCTACAGATTCAGCAGCAGCAAACGGAGCCCAGGGATCCTGTCACACTCAGGTCCTTTGCTGGGCTCACAGCCATGGCTGACAAGAGTCTGGATCAGTTTTCTCTGAGTACGAACACAAAGACCAGGCTTCTCTCATCTAAACAAGCAGGCCCGTGAGGTGACAGCCTGAGTCCATGGCCTAGGGTGTCTGGGGTCTGCTCCACATCAGGTGGAAACAAACAACAGGAAGCAGAGGCAGTTTATAAAGTAGGTTGGGGGTCTGTGAGGGAGGGAGGAAGCAGGGCTGAGTCCAAGGACCCTTCTAGAGCGCTGTGATGAAGAGCACAGGCGTAGACGTGTCCACTTTGAGCTAGACCCTGACAAAGGCTCTCGCCCTGGAGCAGTTGCTTAATTACTCTGAGTTCCACTTTCCTCATCTTTAAGGCATGACTAACACTGTCTGCCTTGGATGAACACTGCAGAACATTTCGTACAATGCAGGCTCCAGAGGGGCTTCCGGTGGTGGCTGCTGTCACTCAGCTCCCTTGCTGCCTTCCTTCCTCGCAGCTCACTGCTGTCCTTAAGTGATGATGAAGGGGCAGTGAGGTTGCCAGGTGACTTTAAGCTTGCTTCTGTTCCTCACAGGATTCAAGTCCTTGCTCTCCTCTCACCTCCATTTGATAAGCCCAGCCCCCAGGACAGCATTCCAGACCCTCCTGCTTCCTGCTGGGCTCTCTCAATGGTTCTTTCTTCCACAAGCCCTTTATGGTCAGTCCTGTGGGTCAGCTACCGGATTGGCTGTTTGGGGTACTGCTTTATCTGGGCAGAGTTCTCATACTCTTTTCTGTGGCCTTTCAGACAGTTAAGCTGTCTCTGCCTCCAGTAAGCCTTCCTGGACCACCTTTCCCACTCTCCAGCCTCAGTGTGCCCTGTGGCTATTTGTCTTATTGTGTCTCCCACGGTTTCTTTAGCACAGGCCTGGTATAGAGCAGGGCCGGAGACAGTGAGTTCACACATAACCAAGTAAAAAAATAAAAAAACAAAACAAAACAAAAAACCTGAACAGTCACATGGTGAAGGAGGCGATTCCACCCTGGCTGGTAGGAAGCTTTTCATTTAGGAAGTTCTCAGAACAGGCTGGCCAAATGGCTCTGCGTACATTTACTTTGTATCAGTTCAGTGAAACCACTGTCTGAGGCTGCATACAGCGTGATCTGGGTCACACTGAAATCTGCCAAGCTTCTGTCCTTAAGTACCAAGATGTTTGTTATTTCCCGTGTCTGAGTGTTTTGCCTGCATGTATGTGTGCGCGCCACAGTACACCTGGGGTCCTCAAAGGCCAGAAGAGTGGAGAACTGGAGTCACCAATGGCCATGAACTGCCACGTGGGTGCTGGGAAGGGAGTTCCCTGTTAGAGCAGCAAGTGCTCTAAGGGCTGAGACATCTTCCCAGCCCCCTGCCTTTCAGCACTTTTACATCCTTGCCATTTTTGACAAGTAAACTGAATTAAAGTATTTTCTGTTTTTTTTTTTTTTTTTAAGTTAATTCAAACAAGACTGTGTTGGTATTATTTGGCTAAAGTAATCATTTTAAAAACTTGGCTCCAAAATGAGAGGAAAAAAAGCTGAGAAGAGCATGAAACTAGCCTATCAGATGAAAGGTAAATGTTTCACATGTAGCCAGTATGGAGGTTGATTTAACATTGGAGAACACCGTCCAGAGAGACCTGGGGAAGCCTGGGGAACAGACACGAACTCCAGGGGCCATGTCACTTTTTGCCCACAAAGGGTCCTTATTCTCTGTATTTTCGGGTCCCTTTTCTCCCTGGTTGCAGCTTCCCGTTCTTTCCTCTCCAGCTCTCCTCTCTGCTTAACTCTTGTCTTGGTTGTTGCTTTTCCCTCCTCAGCTTAGGCCTGGCGCCTGCCACGTGGCACTCAGGAATTGAGAGGTCTTCCTCAGGACACAGAGTGCAGCCTGGGACACCTCCCCCTCCCTGCGCACTGCACCGCCACTGACCAGAACACCACCCATAAGAATCCCACGAAGAGAGAGGGTCATTGCTGACCGCAGGTAGATCTCACTGTCTATTAGAGAAACAACAGTTAGCAGAGAGAGAGATCATTAGTCTCTGAAGAGCCTGGGTCATGGCACTGCTACAGGCAGCCCTAATGTTGGAGGTTCTACCACAAACCATCTGAGGATGGAGCTTATTCACATGCTGGCTGACAATGAGACGGCCTGGAGGACCTTAGGGTCCCCACAGCTAGGGCACCAAGTCCCTCCAGCAGCCCTCTGCTTGGCATGCTCTGCACTTGGCTGGGGCAGCCTTGCCCTGGGAGGCCCACTGGCTGGCATTCGTCTTCCCCAGCCACACTGTAATTTGCAGGTTCCAGCACCTTTCTGTTAATTTCTGCTGAATGTGGAGGTGGCTGTAAAATCTAGAACCTGGATATCAGGGCCCTCTGATTTCCAAGACCAAGAGTCAAAGGAAGCAGACAGCATTGGTCTCTTTCCTTTTCTCCTAAACCCTATCCTCCCGATCCTCCCCCCCACGCCAAAGCAATCGCATAGCACAGGTTTCCATCTCGGCAGCAATGGCTTTGCACACATGTATTGGAGGGATAACCCTGCTCAGGTACCTGCTGTACTGTACACATAGGCACACAATCGCCCCACTGGTGCCAAAACATAACATGCTTGCGGGTTAGCCATGGAGACAGCTATCCTTTCTGGAAGACCTGGGCCCCAGCTGGCCTGCTGTTCACCTTGTCCCAGATGTCAGCGCTGGGCGTCAGCTCTCTGCAGAACTTGCACCACAAGAATCCATCACCTTTGTGCTTCGTCCCTTCTGATTTTGGTGTTTCTGTTAATATTGCAGATCTCAACCTTTTTGGGATTCCCTGTCAATTTTACAATGATGTGGAGCAGGCTGGGTCACCAAGAACCCCTAAAGATATGTAGAATGTATGTAGAGTTGTATATGGCCAGATTTCTGGATCTCTCTCTCTCTCTCTCTCTCTCTATATATATATATATATTCTCTGTCTATCTATTTATCTATCTCTACATATCTTCTATCTATCCATCTATCTGTCCATATATATATATATATATATATATATATCTCTTCTATCTCTATTTTCTATCTATCTATCTATCTATCTATCTATCTATCTATCTATCTATCTATCTATCATTTATCATCTATCTATCTATCTATCTATCTATCTATCTATCTATCTATCTATC